TGTGTCACATGATTCTACATTATTTATTTATTATAAAGATAGTGCCATGGCACTATAGTGCTATAAAAATATTCCCATAAAAATTATATATTTATTTTTAAAATTTTCATTTTTAAAACTTTAAACGAAGGTTCTCAACAACTACTTGTAAAAATACGATAAAATTTTTTATCTTAATTCTATGAATCTACTGAATTGAAATAAGAAATTTTTTATCGAATTTGAATATGTGAGGTGGTTGTTAAAAAATATTCGTTAAAATTCAAACCAAAATTTGGCCACAACTTTTTTTAACAAATACATAAATTTTGAATGAATATTACTCGACAACTACCCAATTAATTTTGAAAATTTTTTTATTTTAATTCTGTAGATTCATAGAATTAAAATAAAAAAAATTTGATCGAATTCGATTAGGTGGATGTCGAGTAATATTCATTCAAAGTTTATGATATGTTAAAAAAAAAAAGCTGTGGCCAAATTTTGATCTGAATTTTAATGAATATTACTCAACAACCACCTATTCAAATTTGATAAAACATTTTTTATTTTAATTCAGTAGATTCGTAGAATTAAAATAAAAATTTATTATCATATTTGTAAAGATGGTTGTTGAAAAATATTCATATAAAGGTTTAAAAATAAAAATTTTGTTATGATGTTTTTCCAAAATATTTAAAATTTTTAAAATATTTACCTAAAATTTCTCAATAACTGTTAAGCCAAATTCAATAAATCTTTTTTTATTTTGATTCTACAAAAGAATCAAATTAATATAAAAAAAATTTATTAGTGAGTAAATTGATCATCGCTTATCTGACATCACGTGACTGTGCAGAAAAATTGGGTAGTTAATTTTGGTGGCGATCTAGGGGTAGTAATCTTTTAATTGTTTACGGATACGCTATTTATTAAGCCACTAATTAGTATATTAGATCACATCGCGCACCCATCAACAAGCAGAAGAAATGTCAGAAATATTTACTTATGAAAAGATTAATCGCGAGATCGAAAAAGCTTAAAAGTGGTTGGCGGAGGCTAATACTAAGTACAATAATACTACGAGTGAAGAGGACAAGAAGTACTGGCTGAGTCGGGTGGAGTACCAGAAAAAGCATCTTTCAGACTGGGTAGCAAAACTTCAGATGCCCACTCAAAAAGGTAACAACTCTGTGACTCAGGCGTTGGGAATATAGAGTGGTGTACATAGGGCAGAATACCTACCAACCTGTTTAAACATCCAAATATTGCGCTGTCCTAGAAGTTGGAACCGGTTTCGAGTTTATTACATTTATTTAAAATTTGATTAAAACCGGTTCCAACCAACAGGAGGAAACATCCAAATATAGATATGATTTTCACTCTCTATTACATATATCACTCATTGTATCGACTAGTCAAAATATCACTATGGGATTTGTCAACCAATCAAATTGCGAAATTTACAAAAAGACAAAACCATGAGATTCAAGGGGATTCAAAAAATATGTTGTAAAGCAAAGTGAGAGCTTTATATTTGTTTAATCATTTTCAATATTTATAGAAAAGATAAATCAAATAAGCCTTTCAAAAAAGTATTGTAAAATAATATAAAAAAATTTTTTATCAATTGTGTAACAATTTTATGACGTTCAATGTTTCCTCCTGTTGTTCCAACCTCTACACTGCTCTTGTTAATATTTTACTTAATATATATATATATATATAATCTTTGTTTAATCCACATTCATTTTTTTTTTAATTTATTAATATTTTAGAAATCGAAATCGAAATCGAATATCCTTGACATTTCCAAGTCGGAACCGAGACATACCCAGACCAAAACTTTTACATTGAGCCAGATAATGTTAAAAAACTTGCTAATACTCTCTTAAGTGGTGACTTCTGTTTACTTTATGGACATAGACAGAGTGGTAAATCAACAACCGCTCACACGACATATCATTACCTTCGGAATAAATATAATGTTGATATCAAAGGATATGGTTGCGTCCACCCTGAAGTCTATTTGATCTCCTTAAACTCTGCTGTCGAATTCAACAGTGGTATTAATTCATTTTGGTTATCCATTTGTTCAAAATTGCGATTCAAGAATCCTGCTAGGTTCGCCTTTGACAATAATAAAGCACGGGCTACCACATTTGAGAGTTTTTTCCAGAGAAATCAATCATCGTCACTGGTTATTCTTTTGATTGATGAAGCATCCATTCTCGTAAATCAGGACCAAGCTATCATCGATAGTTTTATTGGAATGCTGCGACTTCTCAAAGGAAATAAAACATGCTGCTTACACGGACTCGTGCTCATTGGGTCGAAAGCATTAAACAACTTCTTAAACCTCGTGAAGGCCACTCCGAAATATCATCATATATACAAAAGGGTGAAATAACATTAAGACTATTCAACGAATCAGAAATCAGAGAACTTCTGTTCTAATATTCAAAGGAGTCAGGCATTAATTTGAATACTGAATCTTTTGCCACAGATATATACAAGAGAACTATTGGTCACAAAGGACTAGTGGGTGTTTGTTGCTGTGCAGTTGAAGAAATAGTTGGACCTGTTTTAATTGATAATTGGTGAAAATTTGTATCCATTAATCTTGTTCAAAAAGTCGGGCACTTGTGACCTAGAGCTCAATTGTGCACGCACTTCTATACCTTTCAGAGACACAAATGAATATGCTTGTTCAAGTCTTACATTTTGGTTCAGCCATTGTGTCATGTAGTGATGCCTTGAATAAGCTTCTCTTGGAAGTAGGGTTCCTAGGTTCAGTTCAGTTCAAATTTAGGTTCAATGAACCTGAACTGAACCTGAACCTGAACCACAAA